GAGAAACTCCTTCGGTCTTTGAGAATTTATATGGACACTGGTAACTTATTTTTGCCTCATGCAGCTTTAACTCAGAGCTTAAATGCACTGTGAAAAGAATAGCATAGAGCAAATACTGCAGTCTTTGTTAATTTAAATCACCCCTGGCCAATCAGCAGTAGAAATTTCAGTCCAGTCAGATGCCAGAAGTTCAACTAAGTAAAATTAATTTCTCAATTTGCGCAACAATTATGTTGATGAAGCACGTGCCATTCAATGAAAATAAGGCTACGTGATCTAAGTAACAGTTTCGTTTCCTTCAGTATGAAAAAAGAAATGCAAGTGACATAACATAGGCTCTTAGTACAATGCTAGAAATCAGTCTTGAGTGACATACAGACAGTCTCCCTTGCAAGAGCTTCAGGATTTTCTAATCCTCGGGTTGCTTATAAATTTCAGAATCACAGCAATTGACAACAGCAGAAAGTAAATGCTTCACACCGTCTAAGCAACGCAACATGATATCTTACAGAAACCAAAACACTCCATACCTGTAAATTAAATGTTACAAAATTTTTGACATATCATTTCAGAAAAAGTGTTGATGCTTGAATTAGTGAAAAAACATCCAATGATATGTCAAAGAATAGGATATACTTAAAAGGAATACAAATCAATGAGATAACAGTAAAAAAACTCAAAAGAATGGACTACAAAAGAATAGGTAATTGCAAACAATTGAAGGTGTAACTTGTCCATACACTTTTGTCTTTAACTGAAGACATCACCTTTTAATTCATTAATGTGTTTTCCATACTTTTGACATACTTGCACAACATATGTTTCTTTTTTCTTTTTTTGAATAGAAATAAAAGTATTTGGCCATACAGTAGCACGAACACAGTTGAATTGTTTACTGATGATAGCAATATTGAATCAGTATCTTAGTAAACATGATATTCTCGTGTGCTTATATGTCAGTAAAAAAAAAATAACATACAAAGATATGTTCCAGAATTTTTGAACTACAAACGCTGATGTTTAAAACCTGACAGTCAACTAAAGGGAAAGAAAGGGAAACCAAATTATCACATCAATCATCAAGGACAGTCTTTTTTTTCCAAGTTAATTTTACCTAAATATTTGCACTGGAATTTAAACAATAAAAAAACTGAGATATTGCGCAAACATATACTACTCTGGTATGTCAAAGCACAAGTGTATGATAACAAAAAAAACATCAGAAGCAGCAAATGCAGTGATTCCAATGCTCTACTCTGTGTAATGTTCAGCTACAGAATGTCAACTATGAATTATGTTTCTAACTCCATACGGACAAGTTTACTCACAGTAGTCCCTATCTTGTCTTTTGAAACAAGGTTATCATCCACTAAACTCTGGACAACATCTTTCACCAGCCTTTATTGGGACCCAATTACTCCAGCTCCTTGATTCAAAACTCATGAGAAAAATTCAGAATCCAAGAGGTAGAAAAAAGAAAAAGAACAATGTCAATTCATAAAGGAACATTAAAAAAAAAAATTGAACACATAAAACCAATGCTCTAGAAAAAAAAAAAGAGGAGGAAAAAAGTACCTCTTGCTTGACGGTGGCATAACCTAAAGGAATCCATCTTTCTTTTTGGGATTACTGCTGCTACTAATATAGCTATTAGGATTGTTACAGTCAAACCTACAATAGTAAAGGTTAAGCACTCAATTTATAAAAATCACCAATAATAAATAAAGGGCACTAAATGAAAATGATTAGATGGTCCATACAAATTTAGAAAAATAAGTAGATCCAAGTTCAATTAATCGAAAAAATACCCTAAGAAATAAAAGGGAAAAAAGAACGATTTTCTGTTTTCTTTCTTTTTTAGGAAAAATCAGAAAAAAAAATCCCAATGAAATGAAATAATTAGGAAAAAAAGTGGAGAAAATCAAGCATACCTCGCTCTACTACTTTAGCTTGAAGATCTGGAGTTGAAGCTTTTCTTTCAGATCATCTCGAAGAGGGCAAAAAAAAGGAGGACATATAGGTTAAAAATTAGAAAAAAATAGAAACGAAAATAAACAGGCAAATTTAAGGAGTTACCTTCTACCACCACTACTCCTCCACGGCACCACCACATAATTAGCTCTCCTTTTCCTCCTCCAACACCAATAAGCGCAGCGGCAGCAGAGGCCTAGCTCCATCAATATCAATAGTCTACGTGAGCAATCCAGACTACTCGTTGACAAACTCCGATCTCTAGTAATTGACGACGGACGGGAATTAACGATGACAAAACTAAGAGTAATTGACGATGGACCAAAAACATCTACTACATGAGCAATTGACGATGACGGGAATTAACGGTGCCATTTTGGTCCATTTGAGTGTGACAGCTATGGTCCTACCTACTACTACTACTGTTGCCACCAGCAGTAGTGAAACTGCAGCACCGGGCGAGTAATCTGTTGGCGTTGGGATGGGTTTAGCTTCTGAGGATAAAGGTCGGGCGAAGGAGAGAAGGGGAGAAGAGAGAAAGCGGCGGCAGCGGAGGAAATTTACGAAAACCCTAGAGAGGAAGTATATGCAGACGTTGGCGCATCGCGCGAAAAGAAAAGGCCGGTGACTCACATGCTTGGCACGTGAGAGGACGACGAAAACCATCCAGGTCATCTGTTGGCGTTGGGATGGGTTTAGCTTCTGAGGATAAAGGTCGGGCGAAGGAGAGATGGGGAGAAGAGAGAAAGCGGCGGCAGCGGAGGAAATTTACGAAAACCCTAGAGAGGAAGTATATGCAGACGTTGGCGCATCGCGCGGAAAATAAAAGGCCGGTGACTCACATGCTTGGCACGTGAGAGGATGACGAAAACCATCCAGGTCATCAGAGCTCTTCGGCTCTTTATCTACTTATGTTGATGAATGTGGAATCTCGAAATGAGTTTCTGTGAAAAGTTAGGCATAGTTTCAAATGTAGTCGCTGAGCTTTAGGTTATGATAACATACTTTGAGACTTGTCTTGGACAAAGGGAGACAGGAAGTAGTTTTGGAATTTGATTCTGAAGCCGAGAAGGGAACAACAGAAGCCTACATTTCAATCTTCTTTGTCAGGTCAAAATGCCACTCAATTAATATAAGGTATGTAAGATCTAGTACACTTAGAGAGAGAGAGAGAGAGAGAGAGGTGAGCTACTGTACAGACCGGCCAGCAAAGAGAAACATCAACATGGATACAGATTCTCCTTATCACTCGGAACCGCCAGATGAATTCAGATAGTTAATTGGAAATGATGTAACGGGGATAACTACCCCAAGTTTTGTTTGTGTAAATAGATGCTAGGCTAGTTTAGACACACCAAGAACCAAAAAAATGGTAAAAGACTGTCAAATAAAATGTCAACATATCCAAATTTGATACGGAACAAAAAAAAAAAAGGCAGTAAATTATTAGATCACTTATTCAAAGCTGATTTTGTGTCTCTAAGACTAATCATGGGATGAAACATCAAAATATCCAGCCAATTATTAAGATCCCTTAGAACACATATAGGTTTATGCATATATGGTGTTTTAGTTTCCAGTGATTTTTCTAGATTTCATTGGGTCTCTCTTTTCCCAAGTATAGGTTAGAGTAGGAGCAGAAATAGGAATAGGTTAACGTATGATAGAAAAAAAAAGAAAAAGAAAAGAGGACTAGGCCATTTTTCCCTAAAAAATTTTTCAATTTTTGTGAACATATTTTCATTTTTGGTTTTGATACACTTGTTTCTCCCATAGAGGCCTGTGGTACTATTACTAATGATTTTTACCACATCCAAATTCGCTAATTGGCTTTTACCTACTATATATTTCAATTAATTAATCAAATGGTAGAGCCACATTCACTCTCATAAAAAAGTAAAAAAAAAAACACTGTAATCATTTCTCTCTTTTTTCGAATATTATTACTATGTCTTGTTTTAAAAAATTATATATCTAATCTTTTGCATCAAGTTTGAATGATATTATGTAACAATTATAGTGACAAGTTGTTTGTTATGTTGTGTCCCAAGGGCATGGATATTTACAAAAACATAATAAATAAATAAATAAACAAAGGGAGTGGGCCTACTAAAAAAAAATTGATTATGAAAAGTGATTATAAAAATAGTTAGAATCGGCAAGAAATATGTGGTTGGATAGAGTATTATTTAAAATATTATTTGAAATAATTACTGTAGCACTTTTTGTGATTTGATGTATGTGAGATAAAAAGTAGTTGGGAATATAAAAAGGTGGATTGAGAAATATGTTTATGATGCAATCGAAATATTATTTGAGATAAATTTGTATTCCAAAATTTGAGTGATTATGAATTTTATCTTTTTTTATTGTTTAAAAAAATATAATTTGAATATAAAACAAAAGATAACATTTTCATGATCAGAATCTATAATCAATAAAATAATAAATCAGAACCACCCCTTATTATGTACTATGACTATGAGATTTCTTAACTACTCAAAAATATGGTAAATGTATAGCCGGTTAACAAAAAAATTTTCAAACATAACAACAAATTATAGAAATAAGGATAAATGTTGGTCATATATTAAGGGAATTTGATGTTTATTAGCCATTTTTTTCCAAAAAAAAAAAATATTCAAAAGAGAGCAAGATCTACTTTTCCTTTCGGCAAAACTTTTGAATGCGTTCGAAGGAGAGAGCAAGATTATTTTTCAGAACAAATTATAATCGGTGTTTGACAAAGAAATAAAAGGTGGATGAAGCACAAGGGAAGGGATCTCTCCACAGGGTGGGGAATGATGATGGCGAAAGCGATGGGTGGGTATGCAGAATGTAGTTGGAAATAAATGCGTGATTGCCAACTAAATTACTCCAACCAATAAAATAGTCTAGCAGTCTTAATCCGTAACACTTTTCACTCCACCTCTCTTCTAAGTTTAATATAATACTGTGATATATATATATATATATATATATACACACACACACGCTTCACTTACACAAAAGAAAAATAAAGTATGATGATATTCGGTGGGCGCAGCTGTTGCCACTTTCCTTCCCCTTCGGATCACGAGAGCCACCAGGGTCGAGAGGAGAATTTTGTATCGCGTTCGAATTGATTGGCCGATCGGATCGGCCAAATGGAGGTCGAATCCACCAAGAAAATATCTTCCAGCCAAAACCAAAGGGAAACGAGGACCAGCAGGAGGTGGAGAAGAAAAACGGTGGTGGTTTGGGCGGCCATCATCGGGGTGATATTGGTGGTTGGGTTGGTCATGCTGATATTGGGGCTCACCGTCTTCAAAGCCAAACGACCTGTCACCACCGTCAACTCCGTCTCCCTCAGGGATATCGATGTCTCCGTCGACGTCTTCCGGCTGAGGGTGCTGTTGAACGTCAGCCTGGACGCCAACATCGCCGTCAACAACCCCAATAGAGTCGGCTTCCACTACGCCAACAGCACCGCCATCCTCAAGTATAGAGGCCAAGACGTTGGGCAGGTTCCCATTCCGGCTGGCCACATTGGCCCCCGCCAGACCCTCCCCATGAACATCACCCTCACCCTCATGGCCGACCGCTTACTCTCCAACTCCAATCTCTACCGGGACGTCCTCTCCGGTACATTACCCCTCACTACTTTCACCCGAATCTCCGGCTATGTCCGGATTTTGTTTAAGATTCACGTGGTCTCCTACACCACCTGCGACCTCGACGTGGATGTAGGCAACAGGAGGCTTACCAACCAAACCTGTCACTACAGGACCAAATTATAGCCGCCGGGTCTGCCTCTTTGCTGCTGCTTGACTTCGAGGCTTCGATTGCTGCTGCTGATTCCACTAGGCCAGTGCTGCTACTTGCTTTTTGCTTTGATGCACTTTGTTTTGCTTTGTGGTTGTCTCATGTCTGTAGTTATACTCCGTCCTCCGTCCCACCCCACCCATTTGCAGCTGCCATGTCCATTCTTGAATGTTGATGTTGATATCTTCTTCTTTTGTATCTCAGCTGCATATCACTCTCAACATTTTTGTCTCTGTGCTATGTAAATCCGTACGTTTTCCTTTTTCTCTTGCTAGTATATATATAAAGGCACTCAGGTAGAAACGGTGGTGTTATTTTTAAGCAGTTGTATTGCAATTTTCTGCTGAATGAGTACTATTAATTATCAAGTTCCGGAAGGAGAAATGAGTGTCCTTTCCACTGATCATTGCAAGAAGCATTTAATATTGTAGATAGATAGATTGCTCTTCTAAGTGCCATGTGAACATCTAACTTTACTAGTAATTACTACTGCTCATTCAATTGTTGATTTTTTTTGGAGCTAAGAAGACTCGATGATCCTCAATTTCCTCCCATGGAAGTTCTGAAAGCTTATTTTCGAGTGCTTTTGCTCGGAAGAACAAGTTTATGCTAACTTCATTTACCACTCAGTCAGACGCACTCTATGCCAATAAAAATTACACCGCCAAAGAAGTTAAGTTCACCTACTGATATATGCAGGGAAGCAATTCTCATTTCTCTCCCGTAGTACTAACAACCATCATTGATGAAGCTGACTTGTTTATAGTTCCAAACACCTCCTTGTAAGTTGTTGCAAGTGCATTTGAGTAATACCAGGATAAAATCAAAATGTCAATGAATGTAATACCAGCTGGCATCTGCTAGCATATGATTATTATTATTGCCTATTTAATCAGAACAAGAATGAGTCAAAGATGGCATTGTCGAGAGTTGTAGGCGACAGGCGTCCTCAGTACTGATTGGCTTTGCACAAGGAATAGTCAGAATTCAAGCTTTCTGCATAAACCTGTATGAATACGTGTAATTTCCCTAGAGGGCTTTACTGGTGCTCGGGGACAAGTTTCGGCAACTCCACTAAGGCTAGTTGCAGAACGAGGCGTCCCAAATCCATCAACAACAACCGAAGTTTGAGAAAGACTTCTTCCGGGAGAAGGAATCCCCTTGGTCTGCGTGGAAATGATCGCTTCCAAGAGGCTTTCATAGACAGTTTGAAATAAAGTCTCTTCTTCTTCTTCTTCAGTTATGGCTGTTACAGTGTTGGTGTGAGGGACGCAGCCACAAGTAGAATCACCAAAGGTAAGCCGCCGCCGCCGCCTCCTCACAACATTGTCCCCTGACTCTTGTATGTACTCGGTAGGATGCGGAGCAAGCAAAAAGGTATTATTAGGTCCAGGAGCAAAAGGATCAAAGACGCTGTATTTGGGGGTACAGACACAGAGACCTTGTGTATGATCATCGGGAGAAGATGGATGGTTATTCGAGTGAGGATTAATAATAACAGAAACAGCTTTTGGAAAGGGAGGAAACAAAGTCGATGGGGGAATCAGTGGTGATTGCTCCTCCCATAGATGCATTTCCCTCGTTGTCATTGTGATTTTGATGGTCAGGTGCCCAGATTGATGGTCGGTCGGAGCTCTTTGATGTCGATGTTGTGGGAATTTGCAGCTTCTTCTTCAATACCACGAAGACCTCCACAGCTGAAACTGAAGGCTGAGAGATATCTTCCCCGTTTTTCAATGTATCTAGACAGGTCCCAGAATCCACAGGATGCCCAAAAACAAAAAAAAAAAAAAAAAAAAGGAGTGACGAACAGAGGTAAAGAAATCCGAGCAAGATCCAAGTCACACGGCACAAGCAAACGAAAAACACACACACAAAAGAAACGCTAAGCAAGCAGCCCTGGTGCTAAACCCAAAAATCAATCACTAATTTCTTTCTTTTCCCTGGGTTTATTTTTGGACTGCTGTTTCTTAGAGAGAGAGAGAGAGAGTTACGCAGAAGGAATCCCCGAGTGACAACGGAATGATTTAGCAGAAAACAAATGCGGTCCGATTAATCAATTCTTGATTAGTACTTCAAGCTAATCCAAGTACTTTTACCGCGTTGCTTGTAACAATAACCTCCCCACCCCACATTACGTCCTCCCAAACACCCTTCCCCCCCGCACCCCACCGAAAAAAAAAAAGAAAAAAAAAAGAAAAATGTGGGGAAGGAGGGGAATGAGCATAACAGCTAGCATGGAGACGGGAGATTACCCAAGTCAAATCGAAAGTAGTGAAGAACGAAGAGGTGCTGAACTGAACAGAAAGATCTCTATTGGGTGTGAGCAGTGCCCACCGCCTTCTTCGACTAATCCGCAGTGCATCTGCAAGTATAGATCTGGAAACCTTCCTGCCTCAAAAACCAACCCTAGACACCAAATAGTCCTTGCAAACACCGACACGCTCTCTCTCTCTCTCAAAAGATGCCTCAAGTCCGGTCTCTCTTTTTCTTCTTCCCCGATGCTTTATAGCTAGTTTGTGAGTTGAGGATAGAAAAGAAAAGAACAGAAAGGATAACTTATGAGAGAAAAGAAAGGATAAAAAAAAATTTGGTAAGCTTTCATCAGTTTTCCTTCGCTTTCTGCCCGTTTTGGTCAGAAAAAATTTTGCACTGTAGCAACGCTTGGCTTCTCTTCAAGATCCGTTCGTTTCTTTTCTTTTCCGTCCGACTTATATGTCCCAAACGTAGAAAAGTCCACCTTTCCCTTCCTTTCTTTTCTATTCCTTTGAAATCTGAACTCCCAAACTAGCTATTAGTTCCTTTTCCTTTATGCTAAGAATTTGGGCAAATCGTTAATTTAGTCCTCAAACTATTTTACTAAAGTCAATTTGGTTCCTCAACATTTTATCGCATGAATTAAGTCCCTTAACTAAAATTCTTGTGTCAATCGAGGACCTATACGGTGTCGCCACCCAAAACACATGTATCTGTACAGAAACCGACGGCGAGACAGGGGCTTTTTTGGAAGTACACAATAGAATTTCTAAGGGAAGCAAGACAGAGAACCCATTTTGCATCCAAATTGGAGGAAACCTGAGAAATTAGGGGTTTTCCAAGACAGAACCCATTTTGCATCCAAATAACGAAAGAAATTAGGGGTTTTCCACCGATGCAAATTGCCAGCAATGGAGGGAGATAAGATGACGAAAACATAGTGGAATGGAGAAATTGGTTCACGGGCAGCACAACAGAGCAAGAAAAAGCTCGAGGATGAATATTCCGACGAAATGGCAGCGAGGAATGGCAGCAGTTTTCCATTCCATTCTGACGGAATTGGTTCACGTGCTGTTTCAGCATCTTGCTTAAGTAATGAGATGTTCTTCCTGATCTCTTCTGCTCCCTGCCTAGCATTTTCAGCCTCCGACACCAGCTGCTGGAGTTTTAAGCGCATATCATCGTACTTTCCTTGGGGATCTCCTGCAAAAGCTGCGTTGAGCTGTGCTTTATATCTCTCCAATTCACTTTGCAAAGTTTTAGCTGTTAATTCTGCTTCCGATGCCTTGTCCTTCAATTCAGAATGGTCCCTCTTGACATTATCAAGCTCCTCCTTAAAGAAATCTACTGAGCTTCTCTGTAAGTTTTGTTCCTGCACAATTTCTCGCAGTTTCCTTGTAGCATCATCAAGCTCTGCTGTGGCGATTTTCAGAGAGGACATATCTGATTCTCTAACATTTTGCAGCTGTTCTTGCAAAAGCTTGATTGCCTCCGTTGTTTCTTCGAGCTTTTTCGCGAGAATTTTGCTAGCATCAAATTCTTCTTTCAAGGATTTGATTTTCAACTCTACTTGTTCCTTGGTTGTTTAGTGAGATTGGAAGCGAGCCTGCTTTTCTTCACGATGCTCATTTCCTTCATCTTGCGCCTGGAGAGTGGCCAACTTGACCTCTCCAAGTGTATCGCGCAAGGTGGTGATTTCACTGGAAATTCGAGTTAGCCTGTCTCGGTAAACTTGGGTGAGGTGCTGGGCGTCCGCAGCCTCTTGAAATGCAGCCAGTTTTGTTTCGAGGACTCGATCAAAATCCTGTCGGAGGGTTGTAAGCTCTTGTTTTGCAGAAATGAGCTCAGCAGCGAAGGCCTTGTATAGTTCTCTTTCGTTGTCGACGTCCTGTTTCCAAGCATCGATGCCAAGGTGTTGTCTGTTGGATTTGTGTTCCTCAAGCTCCTTGGCTCTTTGCTTTGCAGCTTCTGTTTCCTCGATTGCCGCTTGCTTGGATTCATTAATGATTTCGAGCTTGTTTGTCAGTTCCTGTAGCGTTCTATTGGCTTTCTCTAGTTCCCGGAAAGCTTGAGCTATTGTGGTTTCTGTGCATTTGAGTCGTGCCCTGAAGTCCTACAGTTGCTTGAGGGCCAAGTGAAGAGCGGATTCTTTCTCAAGCACTCTCTGCTCCCTACCCAACCAAAAAAGTCACTATTCCCTGGTGGTAAAAGTGATGGTGGTTGGCTGTTCGATACTATGATAGATTCTATGTTCAAAAAAAAGAAAAACTTTAGAATACTATGACATATATACCTCATCAGCAATAGAGGAATTTTTTGGCTTTCTAGATAGAAGGGGCTGCTTCATGTTGTTGTCGTCGTTGTTGGACCTAGGCGAGGTTGCAGCATCCCCAAATAAGCTAACCGCGGCCTTGACAGATTGAAATGGAGCGCTGGTGTCCACCTCTCCCACCTCAGTTCTTGGAGAGCCTCCATTGCTGGATCTTGGAGTTCCCATTATTGGTTTCGGCGAACTTGCCGGAATTGTAGAATCGAAGGAACGAGTTCGTATGTGGATTCCGAACATTGTAAGAATTTCTTTTTCGGAAGGAAATTTTTTACCCACAACAAATTAAATCACCACAAAAAAATTCAGTCTTGCTTCCCGTAGAAATTTTATTGTGTACTTTCAAAAAAGCCCCTGCCTCGCCGTCGGTTTCTGTACAGATACATGTGTTTTGAGTGGCGATATCGTATAGGTCCTCGATTGACACAAGAATTTTAGTTAAGAGACTTAATTCATGCGATAAAATGTTGAGGGACCAAATTGACTTTAGTAAAATAGTTTGAGGACTAAATTGACGATTTTCCCTAAGAATTTATGAGAAAGATATTTGGATTGTAAAATCATTTTTTATGTTATATACATTAAATCATCGCTATATATAATATATTTTTCTATAAAAACTGTTAAAAGTAATAATCCAAACAAAGTGTGAATTAAGGATTAGGAGTTATAATTTGTTTTTGGATCTATTTTACATAAATTTTAGTGCAAAAGGTGTATAAGAAAAAATTGCACAACATTTTTAAGGTAAAAAACTCTTGACACACTTGGAAGATGTGAAAACTAACTAGCTTATATATATATATATAAAATTTCTTTGAACCAGTTGGAATAAAAAGGCATTAGATGGTTATGAGAAACATTTGGAAAGCATCCACGACGACGACGGTACAATTATTTTTCAACGCAAGGTTAGCCACCCTCCCAAAAAACAAAAAACAAAAAAAAAGCATGCAAGAGATGTTAGCTAAACATGAAAAAAGAAGTGATAGAAGTGATACGGGCGGGGAGTTGAGCTAATATACGAACGTTGACCATCAAAATCCACCAAGGTCGAACGAAAGAAAAGTTATTAATGGTCAACTATTTTTTGGTCTATAACCTCTGAGGAAAGAGAAACGTTACAATCCGCGTCTGGAATGACCAAAATGTGAGACTGAGCTTCAATGACGGGCCGGCAACGATGGGAATAGTAAGCGCGGAAATGGTCGGAGTTGTGTGCTGTCTGTGGTAGTAAAACCCAAACTATAATTAATTGTAGTAACACAGTCTACTCCTTCCCAAAAAAAAGGCATTTGGGGTTTCTTGCATATCAACTATCAAAAGAACGCACTGGATGAACGAACTACGTATACTACTTTAAGTTAAGTAGCACTTAGTAGTAATTAAAAATGAGTATGAGGCTAAACCACCCAAAACCCAAAAAAGGGTCAACGGTCAAAGTCGCCGATTTTACACCCTGCCTCCCCCCACGGCCGCGGGGGGTCAAGTCTTTATTGTACTACTTCCTCCCCAAGCTTCTTCTCTTCTCTACGCATATCAAACAAGTACTAGTATGATTCTCTTCAACGCATATCAAACATTACTGGGTCTATCGTCAACGATAAATAGGACCGAAACCAACGCATACAATTGCGTGCGTTGCGTACTGATAATATTGGGTTTGGAGTTGGACGGCGGTATAGCTTTCAGCTGAGCCTCCAACCATTCATCATCACCTTCAGCTTTGTCCTGTCAAGTGTCATCATGGAAAGGCAAACGAATAGCACTACTACTGCTTGTGGGAGTCAGAACCGTGGTTCCCCGTTTAAAGACTCCTCGTCCTTCCGCCTTCGGTCCCCCTGTCTCAACTCCCTGCGCCTTCGCCGGATCTTTGATCTCTTTGATAAGAACAAGGACAGCATAATCTCCGCGGAGGAGCTCACCCAAGCACTCAACCTCCTCGGCTTGGACGCCCGTCTCTGCGACTTAGACTCTACGCTCCGCTCCTACATCCAACCAGGCCAAGCTGGCCTCACGTTCCAAGACTTCGACGCCTTGCACCGCTCGCTCCATGACGTGTTTTTCGGCCTGCAGGACCAGGACGACGCCGATTCTACCTCCCCTCCCAGTAGCTGTAAAGAGGAAGAGGAAGCGCGGCAGCAGGAGGAGTCTGATCTTTCCGAGGCATTCAAGGTGTTTGATGAGGACGGAGACGGTTACATATCGGCCAGGGAGCTGCAAGTGGTGCTGGGGAAGCTGGGGTTGCAGGAGGAGGCCCGGGAGATGGATAGAGTCCAGATGATGATCTCCAGCGTCGACCTCAATCACGATGGCCTTGTTGACTTTTTTGAGTTCAAGGATATGATGCGTAGTATCATCGTCCGATCCGCTTAGCCGCTACTCCCATGCCTCCTGCTACTTTTTTTTGTTTTTGTTTTTTCCTTTCCTTTTTTTCATCATCAATCTATTAATCCAGGGGTCCATGCTTGTGCCATGTACAGGAGTCCATCACTTTGTGCTGTTTAATCACCGCAGCCTTTATTTTTTGTTTTTAGGATAATTTCAGAAACCTTTCCTGAGGTTTCAAATAATTAATGTTACTTGGCTCCCTGAGGTGTTAAAAATAACACTTACCTCCCTGCCAATTTAAAATGATAATACTAACATTAATATTTTTAATAAAACTCTTTTGTTGCCATGTTTATGCAAAAGGAAGGATTTTATAATTTTTTTATTCATTTCCAATTTAAACGTTAAATTGGTAATATTTTTTTTGATAACTTTTAATATCCTTCAATTTTTTTTTTTGATATCAAAATCAAGGACAAGTCAACAATGATTAGAAACAAGTAACCCAAAATCACTATCAAATTATGATAGTTCCACAACTAAACTAGCCCATAAATTTTTATTAAAAAAATAATCCATAAACTTTAAAAGAAACAAAACGACACTTTCTTCTCTACC